AGCTTATTATAAAGAATACATTAAATGTGTTAAATTTTATATTTGCTTTAGCATGAAAATTTGTTAAAAAGAACATATCAAAATATTTTCAATAAAATATTCATAATCATCAGATTTCATCGATCCTTCTTGAATGCCATATGCTAATAGACCATTTACACACAATACACCTTCAATTGTAAATCTCTGTCCGCTAACAAAAAATGTAGCTTTTCTTACACGATGTCCACTAATATTCTATCCATACCAGCGTGATAAAGTTCTCCTATCATAAGCTGATTCATCAGAAAAAAATAATTGATCAGGTGAATACTGAGACATACGTAAAATAAATTCTGCACGTTCATCTTTTTTCCTCTCCTGGGCGGGTTTAGAATATAGGCAATTCTGGGGGTTCTGGGACAAAATTTCTGAATATCTATAATATAGTGTGTGGCATCCCAGCCACTTTCCTGATATACAAAATTTTTGAAATCTTTATTGAACTCCAAATTTATTTACAAGACCAGGAAACATATCAAAATTCAATATTGAATTCAAGCTTAAAATCATTCTGGGCTTAAATCCTGTTAACATATCTTCTTACCCAAATTTTTTGTTTCTAAGATCAAAATATACACCATCTTTGTTAACGCGCTGGCCTGATTTTAATCCCAAATAATATAACGAAAAAAGTATGCTATACTGCTTGCCACTTGAAAAGAATCCTGAGTACTGAGGACTGAAGTGTCTGAGTGTGCTCGTGGTTCATCTAAGCAAGCTTAATTAACATACTATTTTTTATGTTATCTTAGATTTAATTCTAGAACTGATTCATAAGCGTAAGCAAAATAGAAAATTTACACTTAAGCTTATCTTAGGTGTAAATTTTTTTTGTATTTGAAAACAAAGTTAAAAAAGATATAGATCATGTTCTAGCATATAATTAATTTCTTGATACACAGGAAACCATTCTGGAGCCAATTTATTTATACAAACATTAAGACAAAAAGTTTCACCTCAGGTGTGAAAAAATTTGGGTTAGGTGTAAATTTTTTGGGCTAGGTGTAAATTTTTTTAAACCCTATTATGTTTTCTAAATGATACCTAAAGCCTTATCTTAAAGCTTATTAATATATTAGGTTACATAATAACTATTAGCATACTTTCTACAAAGGACGGGTTCAAAGCTAGTCAGCTTGCTACATACACTACAAGGAAAACACTTTCTAGCTTTCCAATGTTCATGACATCCTTCTGGCTGACGGCAGGTCCGCCCACAGACATCTTCAGTTTTGAGTAAATAATTGTAAGAATATTCGCCTATCATAGTAACAAGAAATAAATATTTTATTTTAAATAAAAGATTTCGTAATATTAATACAAGCACCAGGATAGCAACACTTTTACAATAAGTACACAAATTCAATTAGCCGAAATAAGCCTACATATCAGGAAGTCAAGCAAGCATTAATAAATGTAGTCAAGGCTGGCATCTATTATAGAAGGCCAAAGGAAGGTAAATTCATGCAATCATATAAAGAAAGGATCAAAAAATTGCGCTAGGCAGAGGATCCTTAAGAATATGTTCTCAAACTAGCCATGAGTTTATTCCCTAATGAAGCTAAATATTATAAAGTCAAAGATGACTACAAAGAATACTATAGGCGAGATCCAAAGATTCTTAACGCCATCATGAAACTATATAAATTATACTATAAATTAGCTAAGGATTATTTTATTACCGATAAACAAGTTGATGAAGAAACAGAAGACTTTCAATCATCACTTTAAAAAATTTAATTCGTAAACACCCACTGGGAAGGCAATTCTGTATCAAAGGGAATAACCATCAATTCTTCTTGAATAAAAGATCTTTTAAAATGTTTAAGAATATAATCATCATTATCAATTAGCCCAAAGGGGACTTCTTCTAGCCAGTATAAGACCGGCTGATTTTTTTACACCATAGCTTGATGGATATGATAAATATGTGAGGACCAATTCAAATCACCAGCACGGCGTCTCCCACCTTCCAAATCACTAAGATATAGTAAATATCGAACAAGAATATCACTAAAAAGCTTTACTTCATCAAAGCCTATAGGGCCATCTCGAGGATAAGAAGGCTTAGCCAAGACCTCTTCTTTCTCTATTGCATCAACAGGAGAAATACCAAGCTGGCATGTGATAAAATTATTAAAATATTTAACAACTATAGGCAAATTCTTTACCCAAACCCAGAATATCTTATTTAAGTGTAAAGTCAAAAGATTAGAAGCATCTTGAGAACGAAACAATTTTCTAGTTAAATCACCATTAAATTTTTCAGTAATACCCATAGTATTTTTAGTAAAGTCCTTCTGAATTTTCATGCCATGTTTACTCATTAATTTCTCACAATTACCTCTAAACTCTGATCCTCTATCTGTTAAAAATTTTTCCAGTCAAATAAGAGGACACTCAGAATCATTATAGATTTTCTCAAGAGCTTAAGCAATAGTCTTTGAAGTTAAGATTCCCTACCTATCTTTGACACTATATGCATCAATAGGGATAGATACTTTATATCTCAAAGCCACGTCTACTACATTAAGACAAAAAAGATAGGTAATCTGACTTACTTTGTCATAAGGTATATAGAGAACATCTGCCTGGTAAACTTTATTAGGAATAGTAATAGAGCAAAAACTTGCTTGAGGAATAAATCTAGGACGAGGTTTATGTATCTGATATACAGCCTGTCTATCAAGCCAGTCACGTATCTCATCAAGTGAAAAATCATACCCAACCTTTTTAGAGGCTTCATATAATTTTTTCGCAGTCCTCTGATAGCCCGAAGGCTGATAATAAATCTTCTGCAAAGCAATAGAAATATCAAGTTTTCGAGTTTCACCTGATTCTATCT